TTACCTAAATGAGACGACACATCAGCACATTAATAACACCAGTCCAAGGCTGAAACCTATCTCTGAGGCCCAGACGAATTCTATTTTTAATAAGAATTTTATTGGCATAATTTCAGATGTAAGTAAGCTCCACTGAGTTTTCTCCACTTACTTTTTCCACTGAGCTTAATGACAATTTGTAGCTTTCCTTCACTATTTATCTTCTGGTAGTTCTTTCTGCATTACAATACTCTTACCTCTCCTACTGATCTATAATTATTTTTCAGACACACATTTCAGTTGGATTCATCTGTACCTGCTCTGTAATGGCAAAAACAGGGTCTTAATCTAACACCCATCGAAAAACAAGACCCTGAAGAATGGTAATGAGACTAAGATAGGGAGGTGGGGGGGGCAGTAATAAGGACACTGGAAAAACAGACACCCTCTGTGAAGGGGGTACCTGCAAAAAACAGGGTCAAGCTCTGACAACAGGAGACAACAGGGGAAGCTAATGAAGAGATCTAATAGTTGGTATTTTGAAATTTTGATCCAGTTGCTGTCCTTGGAATCTTTCTTTTTTAAAATAAAAGCAAAAGAATGCTCATATTTTAAATGAAGGAAGCTTCCTATATTTTACCAACCAGTGCCTTGGATTGAATACTCATCTGTAGACATTGGAGCATCCATATTTAACATTCACCCTCATCAGTATAGAAGTAAAACAAGTTTATGCCGCTACTTGCAATGCTATTGGTTCTAGAAATAAAGAGGTCTGGTTCTTGTCAGCAAAATCACGGAATTTTAAAATTAAAATTTCTGGAACTTTAAAACAAAAGCCATGGCAGTTGTGAGGAAAACTGCCTCCATAATCACTAATGAAAGGCAAAACAAAACCAAGCTGGTAGAAAGGCAAAATTTAAGCACCAATTTTCCAGTAACATTTCCTGTCTGTTACAATTTTCTCTCCCTGATACTCCAGTGATTTTTCTCAGATCTCAGGGATTTTTTTTTTCTAAACATACACACAAGCACATATACACACACATGCAGACTGAGAGAGAGAAGGAGGGAAAGAGAAAGGCTCTATGCCTGTGTTCACAGCACCTAAAGAGAAAAAAAAGGAGGTCTCACTGTGGAGAAAAATGGACATAAATATGATCTTAGAGTTCTTATAATCTGGAAATCAAATTAGTCAGAGAACTGCACAAAGAGATAAAACATTTTAATGAATTACAGTTGTATGGTGCAGTGAGACCATGTAACAAAAGGAAATGATCTGGTCAGGAGGAGCCAGAAAGGCTTCCTTCAGGAAGCAACTACTGTGTTGAGATCCCAAGCAAAAAGGGGATGGGACTGGTGATCCGATTAGGGAGGAACAACTCTGTGCAGACCTCAGTGGAAGGTCACGTGATGAGGAAGACGCACTGAAAGGCCTCTGCATCTGGAACACAGGGAAGGAAGGGAGTGTGGTGCGAGGTAAGGTGGAGATACTGAGAAAAATGCTAACCCATGGGAGCATGGTTAGCCATGATAAGAAACCTGGTCTGTGTTCTAAGAGAAATGGTCTTTACAGAGGTATGTTATCTCAGTTTTGTATTTTGTAAAGCTCTCTTGGCCACTCAAGGACAAAATAGGTGCATCAGTGGATGTGAGTAGATAACTGGGCCTCTGGAGTAGCTCAGGAGAGAAACTATGGTAGTTGGGACCAGGTACTGATGGTCCCAAAGAGAAAAAAGTGGATGAATTCAAGAAATTATTTTTGTAGGTAAATATGACCAGATTAGGTGATGGGACTGTGGAATGGGGAAGAGAGGTGACAAGATGATTCTTATTTTTTCTGGTATATGATGATGTCATTTTGATGTCAAGAATATCAAAAACGTGTATTTGTAAAGCTGGCCAAGAGCTTAGTTGGCCATGTGTTAAATGAAGGCACTTAGGTAATTAGATATATCACTTTGGAATTGACTGGCACTGAGAACATAAATAAGTCAGAGTCATCATGAAGTTTGCTTTCTTTGAGAATTTTTTATTCTCTCTGCTTTTTAAAATGAGCACTGCATGATATAACGCATCTGCTCTCTGCTCTTACCTGTCAGGATTCCTGACACTAATTCATGTGACCACTTAAGCATTTATAGTTAGCATACTACTTTGTCCTATCAATAACCCTAATTCTCTCTCTCTGTTTTTGGAGCTCAAGTATCTGGAATGATTTCAAGCATATACATATATACATAAAGATAATAAGCATCAAAAATCTGGTTGAGAGCATATTCATATTTTTAAAACTACCTCATAGAAACAGTATAAAAATCTAATAAATTAATGTTTGTTAAAAAGTACTAGAAAGAGTCAAATGATAGTATGTTGGTCATTATTGTGATAATATGTAAGGGGATGAGCCACTGGCAATTAATGTAACAAGAGCTGATAATTTACAAGCCTTAAGGATAAGGGAATTTTTTTCAGAAAAGTAAAAGTATTTTAAATATTACACATTTAATGTCATTAGGGATACTTTTATATTTAGAAGGCATGCTGGCCTTGTAGAATGATTATCACAGCTGCTATGTGTATAGTAAATTATCTTTAGATAAATACATACATACCTATGTATTTACACAGGCATGCACATCTCCTCCTCAGATATCATTGTTTATTCTTCAAACTTATCTATGCTTTAGCTAAACAAAAACAGCAGAAACAGACCAAAGTACCACTTCTGGCCAAGACTAATTGAAAATTGCCACAGTGAGAAAAATAACCACCCTGACCACCACCCCCGCCTCCACTGTCCTGCGCTAGTAACACGTGGGCATCTCACTGCCTCCTTATTTTACTACTTCTCCATTCACTGCCTTCTCTAGCAAAGTTCCCAGCATCCCATTTAGGTTTGTAAAGGGATTTTAATGGGTGTGCTATGAATTTTCAATGAGCTATTTGAAATTTGAGGAACCTAATTAGGAATGTATTTAGTTTCTCTTTCTTAAGGGTGATTAATTCCATGCAAGATTTTCAGCCTAATGTGACTCCAAAGGAAAAATAAAAAGGGAAAAAAAGGTTCTACTTTTACAGTCTAATGGACTGGTAATTAAAAAAATTGAATTAAGCATTAACTCAGAAGAGTCGTTTTCAATATATAAATTATTTCTGTTTAGCCTTCTATTGCTAGGTTAATTAAGTAAATCCTTTGGCCTTGATTATAGCCATTACTAAATGAAAATGTAGTTGAAATCACTAAGTCTTGTGATTTACACTAGGGGATCTATATCAGTAAATATATTTCCTTTGCTAAAAGCTTTCATAAAGTCAGATGTCTTCTAAAAGTCAGCCTTCACCGTGGAAACAAAAATTCATTACTTATCTAATTAATTGTTTGGGTAGATAAAATCTCTGGAGTTTCTTGTGGGGTTGCCTTTAAGAAATAAATCCCATACATTCTACATCTTCTAAATGTGTAAGATCACCTCAGGCTTCGACAAAGTCCTCAATTTCTTTAAGAGTAAAAGATGGAAAATTTAGGTTATCTTCCTCAAGTTGTTTTATTTAATAAAGAGCTCAAGGACAAAAGCCATGAAAGCAATTCTTAAGAGAAATGAATAAATCATGTATGAAAGGAGTACAAGGTAATAAAATATACATAGAAAAACCTACACTAAAATAATGCTTTGTAATCTATCTTCTGCATTCTCAGACTCACGATTTTATGCCACACTTATAATGAAGTAACCTCAATATAACCTAATACATCCTTTTGTTTATGTCTTAAAAGTAGCCCTTCAATATTACTTTGAGTATACTAGGAACAACACACTGCTGTTTTAAATTGTATAGAAAGGTAGCTCCATGATTCAGAAATAAATCCTTAACCACAGTCTCTTATGTTCCCTTAAGGACACAGACCAGTCTGCCGCTGCCATACTAAGCTGTAATATGTTGCAAAATAAAACTAAGGTTGTTAACTATCTCCTACCCACTTCTTTCAAGGCAATTTCAATTGTTAAGCATCTAATTACCGGTAGACAGTCTAGTCTCTACCAAACCTCTGTGCTCTATAAAAATGCACCCATAATCATTTTCTGTGTGGTCACATTGTGATACAAATAAATCCTTAAGAGCAGGAAGAGATGCCTTTGTCAAGTATTTAGCAGAAGGGAAAAAGGAAACATGTCAAATTAAAACCAAGTAAGCTAGAAAAATAGTAAAATGATAGATTCGTACATGTGGAGTGGGAGAGTCTAAACTTTGCCAAATAAATTATCTTTACTTTTCAAATTCTGTGAATATAAATAGCCACGTAATTGAGACACCAGATTATCCAGTAATTAGAAATTGGAAGATAAACATGTAGCTGGGAATTTGGGTTTGGGTGGCATACGTTATGTTATACAGTTTGTAGCCTCTTCATGTTTCCTGATTTCATTTTCCTACATGTGATTTCCCTTTTCCTTAGTTTTCCAGTATGCATATTTATAGGCTGCCGTAACTCTCCTTCAGTGCCACAGAGGACATGTCATTCAGTAAATCAACCAATCAGAAAAAGTGCTATTTCTAGTAGCAGTCCCTTACCCTCCATGTAGCACTAGAGATCACAGTCCTGGAGAGAGAACTTGATTTTTAAGAATCAAAAAAACTGGATTTTATTTTATCTTCACAGCTCATTAGTCAAGCAACTTTGATATAATAATTGGTCATTCTGAATTTGTTTATTAATTTGTAAATAATGTGCAGACATTATTTTAATCTCTCCCTTGTCCCTCTAGGCTGCAAATCTGTAGTAACGCGATACAATCTTGGAAAAAAATCTGAAAATTCCACAATGATACAGGTTATCAACATAAAATGTGGTAGACTTTGCATCTCCAGAAAGATATGACTCGGAAAAGAAATGAAATAATCTGTGATGAATAATGCTGGTTTTTCATTTGTACATTAATTTGCAAGATTTCTAATTATCCTCCCCTCAGGGTTTTTAAACTCACTGGCAATGATCAAACTGAATACAATCAACTTACTTCTGGAGCCTGAAGAGTTCCTCACCGCTGAGAAGGAGTCAGCACTCTGCCCGGCTGCTGCAGAAGACCGACAGGGTGAAACCATCTCCAAAGTTGATATTGAGGATGGGGTCAGAAGTAAGGATGCTCAGCTACTGCATATCTTCCCAACACCTGGCAGAATGGTTACAGGGACTCTTCAAAGGAGACAAGCACAAAAGAAGTACATCAGCATATCAAAATATGCTTATGAGGTATCTTTGAAAAATACAGTTGCTGTTAAGTGTGTGATCAATCTCAAACTATATCAGGAATATCACTAAAGAGAATTTAAATAGATTTGCATAATAAGGCATTCCAGTGGAATAAGCACTAAGCTCTGATTCCAATATATACGTCAATATTCTGCTTTTCATTTTTGGATGTTTGATTATCTTATAATTGAAAATGATTTAAACAATCAAAAGATAAATCATTTCAATTTTCTTCATATTTCAATGAATTCAACTTGCAGGCTATTGTTAAATAAACTGCATAAAGTCAACAAATGCTCGTCATCACCTACTAAGTACCAGATACCTGATGTTGGGGCTACAGCAATTGAGTGAGTCTCCTAAGTGTTGCCCTCATGGAGTTAATAGCTTTGTCATATGGCCTATTTTTTCTTAAATAAAGAAATCCATTTATTTCAATACATATGTCTATAAAGGAAATCCACAGACATGCCATTTATATTTTAACTTCACCCAGAAGATTGCTAATTTCTACCTTTTTCTGAGGGTTCCGTGTCAATCTAACTAATAATTGACCTAGAAGATCTATGAGACACAATCTTTAACTTTCCCTCCCCTAAGATCTATATAATAGTGCCAACTGATATTCAATCACTGTCATTTTTCATATAGAAATAGCCTAAGTTCTTAAAAAATGTTCTTGAATAAAAGCATTTTGATTTTACTTTGGCTATGACTTTTTTTTATCTGCAGAAGCAAGTTTGAGGAGTAATACAATTCCAAAGAACAAGGATTAAAAAAAGAAGATGATCCAAGGATGAATCAGGGTTAGTTTATAGTCTCTGCTCTCTTCATTTGTAAAGATGTGTGAATGATCTTACAAAGCCAAAATTTAAGAAGGTGATTGTATTTATCCTGAGATACCCACTAATTAGGACTTTATTTAAAAAGAAAGTTCAACTATATTTAAAAAGAAAAGTTCAACTATTGCTAAGTTAATACTGAATTTATTCAGAAATGCTAAAAATCAGTGCACAGCCACATGGCAAACTTGAATAAAAGTACATTATAGTTTATTTATTTCATATTATTTTTGACTCTGTCAACCAATGCTACCTATTTTTGAAATTTATATGTATTATAAAAGAAAGATGTTGTTATACAATTATAGAATATCTCAGACATAACCCCCACACATGGATACAAATCAATCACATGAGATACCTATTGTTTACCTTTTAATTTATTTCCTTCCATGGGTATTTTAAACTAATTCTCACATTTATATATACATGATAAAAATATAAGAAATCCAATGGTAAATCACTCATTAAAGCAAGATATACCCCCTCCGAAAGAACCAATTTCACATTTCAGAAATATTTCACCCATATATAAGCGTGTGTGTATGTGTAGATTTTTATACATATATAAGAATATTGTATGCTGTTTTGTCCTGTTCCTTTTATTTAATGTCATAGAGAGTGTCCAAATTCTGTCTTTTGTTGTCAACCTCATCCAGTCTATCAGTCAATATCTGTCATATGCATACAACATAATTTGCTCATATTATGTCCCGACTGAAAATTATCAAGTTTCCAGGATTTTATGACAAAATGATATAATCAATGTCCATACATATGTATCTATGCACACATGTGAATGAATGGAATATTAAGTTCCCAGTGTAAGTATAATAAGAATTAAAATGTTTTATTAGAACTAAATGTTTAACTAGAAAATAACTAAAATGTTTAGCCCAAGAAATCTCATTGTTTTTGAAACTCTGATTATGATCCCTTCTCTGTAGTAAAGAGGGAGACTTTACACCAGCAAGAATACATTTGAATTTATAACTATGCTTTATATTAGTGTATTATGATATTAGGGCATAAATATTTCTAACCATTATGCTAACCAAAAGAAAAAGGAAAAAAAAAAAAAAGAGACTGATGATCAACAGTATTTCCACATCTTCATTGTAACATGAAGAGAACAGTAACTGATAAAATCCTATCTAATTCAAATTCCCTAGGGAAACTTCTTTTTATGTATGATTACACAGTTTATTAATGGTAACACTTTTTTGTTATAGTATCTTCTATTAAGTACTTACCACGTGCCAGCTACCAAAAAACATGTGTGATTCAAATTAATTCTCTTAAGAATCAAATGAGATTAATACATATTTCTACAAAATGTGATTAAAACAAACAAACAAAAAAGCAGGGGGAGAGATAAAGCAAGAAACCTTAAGGGAGACCATAGAGCTAGTCTCAGGGACAGCTAGAGGTCTCACCAGGGCTATCTCACTCCGAATCAATCTTGTATCTTACAATGTAGGTGAAGATTTCAAAAAATCATTATAGATTCTATAGTAGACAAATCCAAATAAGATGCTATTTCTCTCTCTGTTTTTAGTCCATTATATTTTGGTAATTGCAGTGCCAAAGCCAGGAGATCTTAGATTGGGATTCTAATTAAGCAATTCTCCAGTGCAGTCTTACAAAGATCCCCTTTTCTTCCTGATAGTATGTTCAAATAAAATATCTTATAAGAAATTCGGATCAGTTCCTTAGTTCCAAGCTGTTGCTGTATTGGCCTTCTTCCATAGTCTTAGAAAATTTGGCAACTGTTATTGTTTATGTACATGGATTCCCAAGAAATATGGTTCTCCCTCTAGCAATTATCTTGGATGCCAATATTAAACTCCAAAAGAACTCAGGAAACACAGGCAAAACTCTGGAAGTTATTAGGGAATAGCTCTTAAATAACTGAGAGTTATGACCCCTGCCAGCTCGTAGTGGTCCTTTCTTCTCTACAATGCCTTTGCTAAGTGTCCATCAGTAGTTGGAACATGTATTTTGATTTGAATTTCACTATCAGTAAAGGCAGAACTTTAAAGGCCTATGAACCTGGGATGGAATCCTAACTATGACAGTATTCCTCAGTTTTTGCTTTTAAAATGAAAAAACAATACTACAAAAAGCTGTAATTATTTTAAAACATAGTCTATCTGAAAGTACCAGCCATGGTGCTTCATTCACTGTAGCCATGCAATAATTTTGTTTCCTTCAGGAACTTTTTCCTAAGGCTATCCTAAGTTTTAACCCATTGAACACTAGAGAAACCCGTAAAAAATCTGAAGATAAAAGTAACATAATCTTAAGTATTCCTTTCAATTTAAAGATCCAGTATTTGAACAATTATGAATCCACCGAATGGTATCATCACTGATCTTTCTCCATCTTATCTCTAGTAGTGCAAAATAACCTGAGGGACGTGTTTTACATTTGTTCCTTAATTATATTTACCTTGTATTAAAAATGATTAAAAAGTAAACATTTAGTCATCCGGATGTTTGAGCTACATGATGCAAAAGCCAGCTGTTTGGAAATAAATGAATAAATGAATTCTATGGTTTCACTGCAATTCATTTATAATAATTCATAATAATCATATAATATATTGTTTGGCATAATATGACCATGATCTCTAGTGCACTGCTCTAAAAATGAATGTTATTGAGACAAATAGTTTGAAAAAATAGACCAGAAATATAGACTAAAATTGGAAATTACTTCACATAAATGAGTTTTTAAAATGCATAAATATTCAGGAGGATTCATATAAATACTACTACTAAAGCAAGTTTCCCTCATCATCAGTACTGATAAACCTAATTTAAAAATTAAATTAGAGGTGCTGATTGAATATGGAAATGCATTTGCGTTATTGGATAAGAGTGTAGTACCATGTACTTAGCTATAGGACAATGTTTACAAATTATTATGCACATCCAGGATCATATGATAAATAGATTAACGCACCACTAGAGCATTGACTGCTTAATGTAAATGTCACATTGTAAATGAGAACAACTAATCATTCCTTTCCTCTAATAGCTAGAGTTCAGCAGTTAAATAAAACATAAATCTTAGTGACCTACAAATTTTATTACTGCATTTGTAATTTCCTGTATAACAGCTCAAGAAAATAACTTCAGGTATGCTTAATTTCAATACGATACAACCCAAGGTGAAGGGCTTTTTTGGAAAGGGCAGAGGATGGGTAGAGGTGGTTGTTGGATTTGCATTGTTTTTTTAAGGAACAAACTCATTCACTAAGTTTCATGATGTAATTTAAAATAATGGATTTTTCTTTATAAACAACAAATACTAAATTAATAACTAAGTGAAGAAACCAATGCATTATCCCAATTTGACTGTAATTAAAAAAAGTCTTTTTACTAGATTGTAATTGCAAGATTCTTGCACAAAAACAAATAAAAGAAATGTAAAGTAAGGCCTGATGAAGATTATCGAGCTAATTAATATGCAAGTTTCCTTGCATAACTAATATTTTCTTACATGACAGGATCAAAATAATCCAAAATGGTAACAAAAAACTACTTCAATATATACATTCTTCAGAAGATAAATTTTCTCTCTTAAAAGTTTCCTTGAAATGTCTTTGGATTTCAAATTCAGGAAACATTTTTTTTTTGTTTTCTAAATGACAACCCTGAGTGGCACATCTTCATCCCCTGGTGAAGTGAGAGAACTGTTTTTCACTTCTTCTTGTCCTAGACCATGGTCTGCTCTGACCACATAAATGTCAGGGCTGCTCTATTCCCCTGAATACACAGAAAAATAAATGTGACATTCTTGTTACTCTTAGTCAACTGGCAAAAGTCAGCAGCCAGATATTATGGTCACATAATCTGCACGTCAGTGTATCACTTTGGTAATGATTCTTTCCAAATAAAAGAGAGTACCTGTATGATCTTATTGATACAATGTTTAACCATCTATATCTATGTACAGTTTCCTTCTGTCTTGCCTCACTCCTTTCTTCTTTCCTGCCCCCCCCCATTTCCTCCTTCTGTCTTCTGTGACTCTGATTTACTTAAAACTTTTGTCTCTTAGTTTTAAGATGGTTATAATAATACCTAAATCACAGTC